ATTTTAAATCATCTCTAGATTATTTAAATGCCTAACACAGTGCAAATGTCATATGAAAAATCATTATATTATGTTGAGGGAATAGTAATAAGAAAAAGAAAGTCTGTACCTATCTTTTTCTGAATGTTTTTGATCTATGGTTGGTTGAATTGACAGACTTGGATCCTGTGGCTACAGAAGGCAGCTGTACTTTAGACTATAAGTTTCTGAAGGGCAAGAAAGTACACTAGATCATGCTTGAATTGATGGGTGGAAGGCATGCAGAGGGTGTCAGTTATGTTTTCCATGGCTTCTGCAGACAGAGAATCTAAGTAGAGGATGTCATTCTAAGAAAAGTTCGCTATGTAACTACATGGGAATAAAAACTCTACAACAATACCCATGTACCTTTAAACAGATTCGAGGAGAGGTTAAAATTTTGGAGTAAGACTGCAGAAATAAAATTTTAAGATGGGTGAAATGATTTTCTTATACTTCTAACATCAAGAAAACCTAAACTTTATGGTCTTTATTGAAACCAAATTAGTGCATATTATATTCTTATTTTGGATGAATTTTTGCTACACCCTCTTTGTGAAGATAAATTTCCTTAAAATAACTTCACTTTCAAATTACATATTTTATGAGATGTCTGTGTTCCAAAGACTCACCTATATTAAGATTAAGCCCATATCAAATATTCCTTATAGTGTTCTTTTGGATTCTTATTTCTTTAAGAAGCAACTAATGACTGTTTTTTAAAATGTCCTTAGGAATTCTGCCTCCAATGTCTCAACATACAATTATCTGGAGCTTGGTGCTCTTTTTGTGCATTATTAGGTTTCTGTTTTCTCTTTCTTCTAGTTTCACTTGCTTTTTGGGGGCCCTTTCTGTAATGGAGACTAATAATAATTCAATAGGTCTGTGAGTTGTGTCACCTATAAATTATTTGAAAGACCTTAACCTCCATGCTTCTTGACAGTAGGGCCTCTTTTCTTTCATCTCTGCATCATTAGCACCTAGCAAATTCTTGACAGCAGTAGGCCTGCAACTGATATTTCTGAATGTGTAAATGAACACCTTACATTAATAAATCACCTCAATTTCTTTCAGCCCTGCGAAGAGGAATGGGTGAAGAACAGAAGGAAGATTTATAGAGGATTCCTGTTCTTACACTAACCAACAAAGGAAAGTTTCTGTCCGTCACTGACATAAATCATGAAATTGGGGTGGGATGCCAGGTAGGATTAATATTTAAGCTTATGGTGCAAGACATTATAAAATTGTAAACTGCAATTTCAAACAGGTATAAGATTAGCTTATCCAGCCAGTGCTGGAAGCCCTAAGTTCAACTTGCATCACCACTCAACTCTGCAACTCTGAAGAGTAATGACCTCAGCTCTGCCACTGCATCTTCATTTCTACAAACACAGATATAGCTTATCTTACTGCTTGTTACTGACAAGCCATTGGGAAGATTACAAAAGATCAAAGGGTTAGAAGTCCTCTGTAAACTATATTTCATTTAAATATAAGTTAACTATATGCTATGTTTTGGATAAGTGTCCCTCAAAGGCCTATGTGTTGCAGATTTGGTCTCCAGCCCATGATGTTATTGGTAGGTGATAGAATCCGTAAGAGGTGGTGTTTAGTAAGAGGAAGTTAGATCAACTGTGAGGTGTGCCCTTGAAGAGGATTGTATAATTCTTAGGTATCTCTCTTTATCCCTTCTGTCTCCTCCCTCATCTTTTTCTCCTCTCTGCTTTTCTGCTTTATACTGAGTGAGGGTAGCAATTTCCTACACCATGCATTTCTGCCACGATTTAATATGTTGCCACAAGCCTAAAAGTAATGAGATCAGCTAACCATGGACTGATCCCTCCAAAACAGTGAGCTAAAATATACCTTTCTCTTTATGAAGTTAATTATCTCAGGTATGTTGTTACAGTTATGGAAAGCTAACACATCATATTAGTCTGAAAACTGAGCAAATCTTAACTTCATAATGTGCTACAATTTCTACAGCATGTGGGAAGATGCATTCTGAAAGTAGAAGTAAAAATCTAAAGTAGAAATGATTTTGAACTTTAATGTTTTAGAGGGGAAACAAGGTTTCTTTACTGTTTGAAAGTCATGTTTATGGTAGTAATTGGGTTTGGGGCGACATCAATGTTTTATGGGATATTAAGGTAAAATTAAGTACATTTGAGTCCCTATGATTGGCAAAAAACACAAGACAGGCTATTTTAAGAAAACTGTGATGTGATCAATATAAATTTAACTTAGGAATGTAATTCCTTTTCTTTGGTTTCAAAAGTCACAGTTTAGTAGGCATGGGAGACCTGGACCAGGGCTGTGGGGAGGTCCCAAAGGAGAGCTTCCCTGACATCCTACAGTATTCTTGCCCTGATAAGACTGCTGATACCACTAGAATTTGTAAACCCTAGGTTAGGTCCCAGGAAAAGGGAGTCATCTTGAGCCAGTCAGCATAGGTCATATATTTGTGACCTGGCATTGGCTGCTCTGTAAACCTCCTACAATTTGGGACCACTGAGAAGGCAGTAAGATTTCATAGCAAGTAAGAATCAAGAAACATTCATTGCATATTATAAATCAGAAACAACCGCCTATCATGACCAGAAAATGGCTATCATCTCTTCTAGGTCAAAACACAGAATGTTGAAAACTTTATTTGCACAAAATCCACATGTTAAACAAAACATGATTGGAGTCATATAATTAATTTGATCTAGAAGTTAGAACACCTTGAATGAAGTGTATATTTTTAAAGATTATATATTTTTAAAGATGATAGTAACTTAAAATGGATGTGTATTCCACTTTCTTCGTGAAAATGATAGTACCTGACATAGATTACCTATCAAGAATTCCAAGTTAGTGTTAGTCAAATCAATCAAGTTTTAATTAGAGATGAAAGTACTTCAGGAAAATAATAAAACTAGAAAATTTTATTTGAAGCAACTTGTTGATTTTGAGGATAATCATAACACTCTGTCTCTAGTTCCCAAACCTCATATTTGTTATGCAAAGTGCATTCAGTCCATCTCCAAGTGTTCCCAAAGTCTACATATATTTCCAGTTACTCAAAAGTCCAAGTCCAAAGTCTCCTCTGAGATTCAAGGCAACTTTTAGCTGTAAACTTCTTTGAAATTAAAAAGACTAGTTGCATATTCCTAACACACAATAGCACAGAAGAAGCAATATCTGCAATATCTTTCCAAAGGGAGAAAAAGGGGAATAGAAAGCAATTGAACAAAGCAAGACTCAAATCAGAAGCTCCTTGTCCAGCATCTGAGAAAGGTAGTGGCATGATGTGAGCTCCAAATGGTTTGGGAAGCCCTACTCCTAAGGGTTTGCAGCCTGTGCTAACTTTGCTTTCAGTCTTGTGGCTTTCCTCAGTAGAATTTCTGCATTTCTAGTATCACTTCCACTGGAGCTTTGGCTTCACTCTCACAGTTTTATGCAACACCATCTTTGGAGCTGTGTGTAGGGATTCTGACCTGCCACACATTGCCTAATTTCCCAGGCCTTCCTTTCAAATCTGGGCAAAAGCTTTCACAACTCTATACTCACGTTCTACATACCTGGAAAACCAGTATTACATGGACAACACCAAGAATTTTTGCCAGTTTGAGCAGTAGCCAAGACCACTTGCATCATGGCTGCAGCAGCCTCTGAGTTGCCTAGATGGTTGAGCACAGGAAAAATGAATCCTGAGGTGAACAACTTCTTACTGGCCCTGTACCAGCAGAGTGTCCCTGTGCTTTCTTCACAAAATAAGGCATTTCAAATGAGTTTATATTTTTGCACTCCTGAGCCTGCATTAGGTAGAGGCTGGCCAATACCTGACATGCTCTCAAAGCATCTTTCCTATTGTCCTGTTGCAAACAAAATACTTGGCTTCTTTTTAGTAGCACTAATCTGTTCAGCTAATATACCTTCTTTGGCTCAAACTTTTCAGGCACTTTTCTAGTTAAAATAAATTTTCTGCTCTGCTTTTTGCTCTAACTACATCTACATCTTTCTGCTCTTTGTTTTGCTCTCAATTTTCACTGCAAATCTGACTTTTTTTGAGAAAATAATTATTGTGGCTTATAGTTTCAGAAGTTCCTTGGCTGCATTGCTTTACGTCTGTGCTGAGGCGGAAACATCATGATGGAAAGGTGTGGCTGAGGATCTCTGCTCACAGGGAAAGAGTATGAGAGTAAAAGGTGTGAGACCAGGGATTGTCCTCAAGATCATGCTCCCTTGGTCCACTGCCTTCATTTAGAGCCCACCTCTTGCTTCCACCACCACCCAATAATGCCACCAAATGATGATCTTATGAATGGTTTAACCCACTTGCAAGTCAGAGCCTTCACAATCCAATGATTTCCTCAAAAGCCCATCGACAGGTGATCAAGCCTTTAACACATGACTCTGGGGGAATCTTTCAAATCCAAGCCACAACAGGGCTGAGATATTATCACATGAATCAGCCCAATCCAACACCAGCTCCTGAAAACCCTGTGAGATAGACCCAATCAGGGTCACTGCAGTGATGGTCCTTGTTCCACACCCCCAACCTCATTGCTTTCAGCCCCAGAACCATGAAAGGAAACTGAGATCAGAGTTAAAAGTGGATTAAACACAGGTTCAGAGAATACAAATTGAAAGCCCTTTATAAGCTAGCCAGCCTCAGGCCAAATAAATGCTGTAAGAGAGACTTCTAGGCCCCCCAAAATCATTTTCCTGGTAGAAATCACTAAAGTTATGGCATACTTCCATTTGTGGGCAAATCTGTATTTCCTGAGTCTCACAAAGTCTATTTTTCCAGCTTAATTTTTTTTTTCTTACAGCCAACATGCTAGACTCTGGTAAATCTGTTCAACCGCTCTAACATGTTCTAAAATTATAAACTAGAATCTACAGTTTTAAAAATCTCACACTGCCTTCACACACCCTGTGCTTCTTATGCGTCAGAAACAAGGCAGTTGCTTCCTCATCTCCTCCTGCTTTACCTGAGCTGGTGGAGGCAGGAGATTTGCTGCGCCGGGAAGGTCCTGGGCTCTTGGTGGTGCTCCTGCGGGATGATGAAGCTATTTTGGTGTAAGAAGTGGACTTCACCACGCGACATTCTGGGGGAGAGAACAACAATGACACATCAGGATTGGGTTACAGCAAGCAAACCATCTCATGTACCTCCCCCCCCCAAATTATATAACAACTTGGCTATAGAAACATACAACCATCTGCAGCCACACCTGTGTCCTGCCATTCTAATGCTTGGCTATGACAATGGCACCAAGGAACAATGCCTCTTATACAGAATGGATCACTTAGACACCAAAGTCAATGATACCCTAAGCTTCCAAGTCGACCAGATTTCTTACCCTTACAAGCATGCAGTTACTTGAGTACTTCCCTAAAATAGATTCAGTCCCTGGCACTGAAGTTTAGTTTCTAGTAACAAGAAACCAAGGACACATTGTAGATGCTCAAAACATTTGCTGAATGAAGTGGGCTTGGCAGGTTGAAAGAGAAGCACTTCTTAAAAGCTCCTGACAAACTGCCCCACCCTCGGAATGTTTGACACAAACTGTATTTCCACCAGAGCATGAATGGGCATTTACTTGACTGCTTGTTAAGTTTAGGTACTATTTTTCCAAAAAAAATCTTCAAATTTCCAAACAAAGATAAGACTCTATTGCTCAAATCTGAATCAGTTGAACTGACAGTAGTGTGTATTTTCCCCACCTGCATATTAGCCATTTGCATTTCTTCTTTTGCAATTATTTATTCAGATACCTTGCTCATTAGCAATTAGGACGACCTCTTATCATTGCCTATAAGAATGTATTCTATACTAAAAATTTATTCCTTAATCTCTCATGTTATAAATATTTGTATTTACAGTAGTTGTTAAAATGTTAACCTTTTAAAAGGGGTATTTTAAAAAAATATAATAGCTTAAAATTAAAGTGTAATTTATTAATTTTCCCATTATGCATTTTCAACCATTTTATACTTTAGTAACAAAGAACACCTAATTCTACAACTGAACAACTAATGCTAATGTCTAGCTTTATCTGCGAATTCTTTTCTTTCTTATCAATCCAATTCTAATTTTGTAAGTTCAAGACATGTTTCTTTCCCTTATCTCCTCTGCAGGAATAAAGTAGTTCATATTATTTAGTCAAGAGGAATGGAAGTGTATACAAAATAAAAATGTTAGAAGACTTGCAATACAAAATAAAACAGAGGGAAGAGAGTCATGAATTGAACTGAGGCAAAAAGAAAAGATTTCATGAAGAAGATGGGGGGACAAGGACAGGGAGGGAAATTGTGCCTTGAGATATTAATATTTGTGTCTTCCTTTGCCCTTTTGTCATACTCAAACACGGAGAAGATGAATTCGAGCATAGTGAACCTGCCATGTTTTTCCCAGAAGTTACTTGTACCACTGCTGGCTGTTTTGGCCTACCCAGGTGGTCCTGTAGGACATTTCATTTCTTAAGAGAAGCGAAAAAAGTTATACATATGGGCACAATAGTAAAAATTAGGAATAACCAAGAAATAACATTAATAACATAGAAGATATGATCAGAAACACCAAGACCATTCACATGGGACAATAATTCCTCATGTGCTTCCATAGAGATCTGAATTCACAAAACTGAGTTTTGGACTGTGAGAGAACTTCACATAGCTCAGGACACTGTGTGCCTGCAGATGATAGCACATTCTGGAGTTTGTCCTGGATGTGGACATCTGCGTTATATTAACAACTAAACTGCATTGGCATAATGTGCCTCACCCACTGGCGTGCTTCCAGCTACACGTTTATGAAGAACCCACTATGTGCTAGGCACTGAGAACTACAGGCAAGATGCAGGACCAACCATACAAATTTGGCATCTGAAATACTGGCCACCTGGCAGTGGCACATAGACTTTTTGGTTTTTGTTTTTCTGCAAGCCACGCTTGTTTGTTACTCAATTTTATTTCATAAAACATTGAAAAATGTTGATCAGTACAACTGATTGCTCATAAATAATAGCACATTGAATCATACTAATCAAAATCAAGACCAGAATGACCAGAACTTTTTGTCTCAGGTCATGAACATTTGGAGGTCACATAAATTTAAAACAGTAATTTAAAAAGCTCAGCAGCTAGCTAACAGGAATGAATAGTTAAAATAGAAAGTTACCAGATGGTGCACATTGTTAGTAACAGCCGTTTTCAAGCTGCAACATGGATTAAAAAATTGATTTCAGGGTTTGGCAAAGGTGCCAGAATTGGTAGTTATGGTTCTAACTACCAGCCAGGGCTCTACACCAGCATAATCGAACCAGTCTTGCCACACTCGCTGGCATTTTTCCTTCTACTGGAAAGATACTCGTCCTTTGAGACAGGCACCTCAATTTTAGGAGAGCAAGTATAGGATCCAAGAGATTGCTGAAGTACTGAAAAGAGCTTATGGGCTCGTGTCATGCCTGTGTTACTTCCATTGCTTCTTTTGAGCTCCATTATCACATAGTATTAATCAATCAAAGTTACTCATTTGTTCCTCTATCTCCTCCCTCTTTCTCGTTTAGTATTATCTAGTGCCTGACATACTAACAAGCATGTAATAGCTGCTCAGAAATAATAATTCCGGCCCTGTTACTACTTCTGTGAACTCTTAGTATTCATTGGACTAATCCAACCTCTTACTTTAGAGATGAGGAAACCGAATCTTCGAGAGGCTAAATGACTTGAATCAGAACCTAAGTCTCTTTGGCTGGTGATTTTCTCACCACCCCAGTATCTGATATTGCAGGCCAGGTGGCTTGAAAATGTGTATGAGCATGGTCAGGGGCAGACAAACGAATGGCAGTAGATGTGGGAAGTGTGGGAAGAAACTAGTTTTCATATCAGCATTAAATTAAGAATTCAAGCTACTAAAGCTAACTTTCTTTCAAGTTGTCTAGTATGCTGGAAAAAAGAAATACTAAACTCTTTCAGAAGTGGAATTATAATGAAGTAATAACTTGAGGAAACCAGAGTCTGAAAAATAATTACAAATATTACAAATCTTGTGCCACTTGCCTTCAGGGTAAGAGTAGGCTTCATGAGTCATACTGGGGATTAGTATAAACCTGAAAAGCTTGTGCTGAATAGCAGAAATAGAAATAACACAAAATTATGGTCACTGCCCTGTAACCCTGGTCAAAATAAACCCAGTTAGAGACTATTGCAGCGCCAACACATAAATTAGAGAAAAAAATCCAGCTCCATCCATCTTTCCAATTAAATTTTGGATTTTAAATATTTTAATTAATTTAAATAAGAATTATCTTTTATAATGGTGAAAAATGAGTGAGAGAAAAACAAATGCTGACTTAGAATACCAAAATTATTGGCAGCTTAGAGGCACAAGTTAGAATCATTATGAATAATATGACCTAAATGGTCAGTAAATAGAAAGTCTTTTTGTTCACACAAAGGACATTTTTACTGTCTCTGGCAAAGAAGAAAGTGGCACCTCTTATGTTGGAGTGCTTGCCTTTGGGGATAATTACTTTTTCATTCTGTTCATTTGGGGCACCCTTAAGCTTTACTGACCAATTTTCAGATAGGATTACATTTCCTTAGGCTGTGGAGATACTAGACAATGCAGATACTCCCTTAAGCAAGAGGACACTGGAGGACTGTAGTTGGTCATTTGGAGGCAGCTGCTAGACTTGCTACTAAAGACTGAAGCATACCCAAAATACACTTGCCCTGGTACCCCCAGGGCACTGGCTCCAGGACTTCCATGAATAACAAAATCTGTGGATACTTCTGCACCTTATATGAAATAACATAGTATTTACACATAAACTGTGCAATTCTCTCATATACTGTACATATCTCTAGATTACACCTAATACCCAATACACTGCAAAATCTACTGAAATAGTTGTACTGTTGTTAGTGAATGGTGATGAGGGAAAAAGTCCACAGTGTTTACTATGGATTCATCTTTCTTCCTGGACAATTTCTATGCACAGTTGATTGAGCCTTCTCTTTGGTTGACTGATAGAACCAGTGGGTGTGGAAGGCTGACTGTATAGGATATGGATATGGACTGTATAGGATATTGTTGAATATCCATATGTTAAAGCATTGGTGCTTAGGGTGGTGCTATTGGAATATGGTGGAATTTTTGAGGGATGGGGATTAGCAGGAAGTCATTAGCTCATTGGGAGAGTGTCCTTCAAGGGGATTGTGGTGCTCTGGCTCTACCGCTGCTTCCTAGTTCAAGATGTAATGTGTCCTTTGCCACATACTATCATGTGTGGCCCCCATCAGAGGCTGGAAGCAATGGGACTGCCTAATCTTGGACTAGAACCTCCAAAACTGTGAGGCAATAATCCTTTAGGCCAAACACACAAATTGCTTGGTGGCCCATAACAAAGCAAGCAAGCAAGCTTTTATTAAATCATTGCTTTAGAAAGTTTCTCTATTCACAGGTCTTTGAGGTGAAAGCAGTACTTTGCATATGTCTATATTAACATTAACTATATGGAAGTTCAAGGGATTTGGTGAGATAGAAGTCAAAATATCTTCCACCTTCAGCCAGGGCACTCAGGAAATGGCCATTCTGTGATGGATAGATTTAAAGAGAGAACCCAGATGGTGATGTGTAGGGAGAAGGCGGAACATATTCTTTGGCCACATTTCCAGAAGCATGAGAACTTTCACTTAAGAACCGTGCCCAAACAGTTGTACAAAGGCTGAATGCTAGAGAAGAGGCTGAGGAATAGAAACGATTACAGAGCTCCACCTCAGGCAGCAGCAGCTCACCTGAGGGTACTGAACATACGTGCATCAAAAGGGCCCACTTATACCTTTTGAAGAAACTTGAACAAGGAAAAGGTGAAAACCTCTGTGTGTCTAGACAACCTGTGGTGACATGCTGGCCAGGAAATACTCTTTAAGCAAGGGATGTTTTTACTCTTATCTCTTTTGTAAACTGGTCAGAATAAAAGCATTACAGGCAGGAAGGCTTTCACCTTGACTCTACTGTCAATGGTTCTGAACAGTGAAGGAACTAGTTCAAGGCCATCTAAAAGAATTCATTACATGCAGTAGACACTTGATGCTCTCT